AAAAAAAAAAGAGCTCAAAGGGCTCATCTGAATTTAGGAGTCACACATTTAGAACATGCTAATAAGTATGACATGCTTTTCTCCAGTCATGTTTAATCCATGATTATAGGGGGAAAGTATATGAACAAATAGATTTAAACAGACGAGGATTTTTGCCAATCAAATATGAAACAAAAGGCGTCAAAGATTTGAGAGGATATGCAAGAGTGTAAACATAATGATGGAATAAGAAAGGCGACAAAGAAAGAGAAAATAGGACAAGAGTGAAATTAACTTGGCTCAATCAATGGATGGTGGGGTCTGGTAAGGTCAAAGGATTGTTTGACTCAAGGTGATAAAGAAAATAAATAAATAAACCAATCTCCTTATTTATATTAGATTCATCTTTTAATAGTTCTCTATTTTCATGTGTCAATTATAGGGCAGTGGGAGGTGGAGGGAACATAGTCCTCTATATTCAGATGCCAATAAATATGCTAAGTCATAAATTAATGGAAGTTGGGGGGGGAGTAATAAGATAAAATAACCTTTATTGGGGGTCTATTGTATGCTAAGCACTATCCTAGATACACGGTATGCATTATTTCATTTAATCACTAAATCATTCCTATGAGATGGTTTAATCACAACGATTAATGAACTTAAGTGCAAGGTCATTCTACAGGTACAGATCACAGAGCTAGAAAGTGGCAATCAAAACTCAAATACATGTATATGTAACTATGGCATCTAAGAGCTTTCCCGTTCCAAAATATTCAATACATATAACATATAATGAAATGTTTTCAAGGAATACACTCTCTTGCTACTATTTATCTGGTCTTTGGGAGTGAGGCAGGGGAAGAGTGAGGAAGGCAAGGGTTAGCAGTAGGTCCCATAAGTCCAGTATTACCAAAAATGCCAGGTGACAGACATGCTCTGAGTTTTAACAAACAGAAACTCTATAAATCCTCACCTATTTTGTTGGAAGTACGGCTTTTCTCCCCTTTTTAATTAATATCCATTATATTATATAGCACAATGATTAATAATTTAACTGTATCTTTTGCTTTGTTTTTAGTTAAATTCATTTTTCCTATGACCAAATGATATATGGATAGGGAGAAAGATATAAGCATTCAAAAATACTTTTTAATCACCTTGGTTATTTTGCCTTTGGAATTACTAAATACTTTTCAACATCTCAACAAAATAATATGGTTTTGAAACTGCAGGCATTAGAATGATTGTCATTCATGCAAATAATCACTTACTTACACTATATGAGTTTGGGTTGCATAAAGCAAATTACCATTTGAAAATAATTCAAATAACACTCTAGGCTAAGACCTTGCTTATGAATGTTATTTGGCCACAATATTTCTTAACCTTTTTCTATTTAGCTAGATTCCTTTATGGTAATATTGCCCAAATGAATAAACTATTTAACTGCCACAGGTATATTAAACATATGACGTAGAAACATATTGGATGTAAATGAATTTTAAAACATTTATTTAGAATTCTCTAGCAGTAATAATTAAGATGAGCTATAGCCACCTATTCACTTATAGATATGCATTTTGCCTATTCATGATATTAAAAAAACTTAAAACTTATGTCAAAATATAAGGCTCATTTTTTTTAATGTAGATATATATCTGTTCTAGTTAATCATAGGCAAAGTATAACTATTATATTTTTTCAAAAGCTGAAGTTCTCTCATCACACATAAGAAAACCGTATGTCTATAAATACACAGATAATACACATAATTACATATGTATTCTTCAAATTGCTTGTGATCATGGCTCCACTTAGCTTTACAGTTTTCAAAACAGCAAATAAATCATTAACTGTTTTAGACAAATGATCTGTAATGACAGGAAGCTTGAACAGTAAGTAGAAATTGGAATCAGAAGTCATAAGGCCTAAATGTTAATCCAGATTGTGACAATGACAAGGTGAATACAAGCCAGTCTCTACTTCTCTGGGCCCCTGTTTTCTGTACTCTAAAGACTGGGCAAGATGGTCTAACTTAAATTTTATGACTCCCTAACCTGATTTTGTACGGGGCAGATTTTTCTTCAATGAAATATTAACAAATAAGACACTCAAATAAATCAGCAATAGGGGTGCAAATAATGACTACAGTTTCTACCACAAAATATGGGTGAACTCAGTAAGTGTAGAACACAGAAATTAATGCTGACCTCCTGCATAGCATGTATGGATATTAAATCATTTCCTGCCTTCATTTCAGGGATGAGGAAGAAACAGCTGTTCCTGAACTCTTTTAAGAAAGCATTCAATAAAAAACAGCGGCATCTCCAGCAACTGTGAGTCCTACTGAAGTAAACTTTCTGTTCACATGGGAGAAATATTTCTAGAGGTAGTAAAAACAGTTTTGCTAGGTTTAAGCAAAAGTGAAAAGGAATTCCAGAATGTTCCCTTTGAGCCACATCATCCATTGCTAATTCAAGGTGGGCCCAGCAACAAGGGTAATAAAAAAACATCCTTAGTAACTGAGAAAGAGAAATGGCAATTAGATACATGTGTAAACCAATATAGAAGACTTAACTCTTTATTAAGATAATATAAATAATTAAAAATAAGAAAAAATTTTAAAATAGCATGGGAAATGAACTAATCCAAGCAGTGAGATTTAACACTGATTTGCCTAGAATAGTTATTATCATATGTATAAATCAATGGGCATAAGCTGAACACAAAGGTTGAGAAACATGCTTGACAATGACTTCCGTAACAAAAAAATAAAGAAACAAAACACCAAGCTACTTTGGCAAACAAATAAATAAAAGAAAAGAAAGGAAGAACTCAATATCTGAACTATTTGGTGATGGGTTAGACACATGATGATTTAAAATCTTTGTAAATCACAGCATGGTAAGACAGAACTCAATTCTCTAATTAACCATACTTATGCTGTAAACTTAAAACTGGCATGAAGAACATCAATTTCTATACATTTGAGGAATAATTTATGACACAATATTGAGAACAGAGTCAAATATACTGACCTGCTCACATCAGGAAACCTGATGGGAAAATAAATAACTTGGCACTTGGGTCTGATGATGCTTTCCAGATCCTTAGGTCTATGATCAGGAATCAGCTTCATAAATCTTCCGATGGAAGTGAGAAATGATTCCATATTAAACACTGAGTTGAATACAACCACATCAGCCACCAGGCTGTAAAGGTAAAAGACAAATGCAAATGATGAGCCCAGACTCACTCAAAGCAATTTTTATAAACCTAAAACGTCTATATATTAATCAGAGTTTATACTACACCTTAGGTTTGCAAAGAACTCTTCACTTCCCATCAGTATCTATCAAAATGTCTCTAATAGCTAAGTTAGTTTCATTAGTGTTATATCACAGGGAGTTGATTGGTGGCATCAGATATCAAGGCAACAGGGAAATGGAATGATTTAATGGGATTGCATGAGGCTCCAAATCAAAGCATATTTTTCCACAATGCCAGGAACTTTCTATATTATCAACAACATTACGTACAGCAATTCCTTTTTCTTCATGGTCCAACTACCCATGTTGAATTTCTATGTCAGTGATGTACATCATTTTACACCATACTACAGAGAACAGAACATCCGTCACACTTCTCACTAGCTTCAAGGAGACTAATTCAGACCCAAACTACTTTCATACTAGGGCATGATACCTTCAGCACTATTTGACTAACATCTACTTCTTCCTTTAGCCTTTACTACAAGAAACTGTGTTAAGTTTTTTAAAGTTCTGGGACTATACAGGAAGAGTTATGGTATCCCAAAATAACTTGTTTCACTATCATATACTATATTGGACTAACCAAAGAAATAGAAGAAATTGGTAGAAATGGGTCCAGAAATCCAGATCTCTAGGTCCTGATTATATAAAGGTATACATAAATTATAAAGCACTGCAACACCATGGATCTTCAAATTAAACAAAATAAATGTAATACATACCAGTCTGCAACTACAATGGTTGAAACTTACGATCTGTTTAACTTTACAATGGTGAAAATGTAATACACATTCAATTGAAACCATACTTCAAATTTTGAATTTTGATCTTTTCCTGGTCTAATGGTATGTGCACAATACTCTCTCACGATGCTGGGCACCAGCAGTGAAGCACAAATCTCAGTCAGCCACATGATGACAAGGGTAAACAACCATACTCCACAGTGGACTGTGCTGCCTGATGATTTTGCCCAATTGTAGGCTAATGTAAGTATTCTGAACATGATGAAGGTAGGTTAGGCTAAGCTATGATGCTCAGCAGGTTAGCTGCACTAAATGCATTCCAACTTATAATATTCTTAACTTATAATAATGGGCTTATCAGGCTGTAATCCCATCGTATGTTGAGGAGCATCTGTATACATGATTAAAGGGACAAAGCAATTAGTTTTCTTCCATACTAAATATGATAGATCAATAATACTGAAAAGAAGACATGTTATATCCACAGGACTGCAAAACACCACAGAATAAATACAGCTTACAGAACAGGAATGCCATAGCCAAGTTTACTGTAAGTCATATTTGCTGAGACAGCCAAATTTATTATTAAAATGTTAATATATAGCAGAGTAAAAAATGAACAGAAAGAGTGATGGTCTGCTACTCCCATGCCTCCCCTGAAAAAACTGCTTTTCCATACAAGTATTGTTTAGTAGTTGCTACCTAGTGCAAATTTGGGGGGTGCGGGTGATTACAACACGAATAATACAAAGGAATGTCACAGAAGTGCTGACACAACAAGGAAGACAATATAATAATATACCAAAAGTTGAAGGATGTTTTACAGCTAGTCTGTTTTCACCATATGTCATATATTGTAATAGCGACCTACAGGTCATAATATATAGTTGTGACATGTGTTCATAAGTCAGAGGGTTAGTGAAACCTCTGTTTAAGGTGAGTGTTTATGTCAGTCATCTTTAAAGTCCTTAACTGCCACACAGTCAAGAAAGAAATCTGACAGTGCCAAAAAAGCAGAAGTCAGCAAGAAAACTAAAGAAACATTTGAGGAAGCGGGAGTCATACTTTTCAACGAGAATCTGAACCAGACTGCCTTTTGACACTCTTATTTTTCCTCTGGAAAATTGTGAACCATTTTTTTCCCATTAAGAAGCCAACTGATGATGAAGTCCCCTTCTCTCTCTCCAAGCTTGTCTGCAAGTTTACCCTCTTGAGAAAAAGCAATGCTAAAAAATCATGTACAAAACTTTTATAGTCTCATTTCCTATGAGCAAAAATAATGTTTTATGAAAGTGAGGAGGAATAGAGAGCTGAATTGTTTTTAGATAGCTTCCCTCAAAGGGCATGTGACCCAATGACTTACATTCTTAAAAATCTAGTCTATGCTAAATTAAAGATCCAAGATAGTTTGCAGAAATATCCTTTTTGGTACATTTCCTCCCTGATATGAGTGGATGTAACTTCCATTAACTTTAAAGCCACCCATAAAGGGAAAAATAGACTTAGTTTTTTTCCCAGTGATTTCTCAGGGGTAATAAACACATACTATCTGAAGAAAAGAATGATGCTAATTCAAGAAATCAAAAGAATATTACAAATGTTTTCCATATTGATAAAGCACAAAATGATTTTATTTTCACTTTTAAAACATATTTTCATTCTCTGTTTCAATATAAAGTATTTTAATTTTATTACGAAATTTTAAAACGGCTGCTTTTTTATGAGACATTTGACGTGAAGCAGTTCCACTCTATTTTGATAGCACTGCTACTTCACAGTTGAAGCAGCTTGTAAAAATGATTGTAGGAAAACAAACAAAAAAAATAGATAATTCACAAAATGCACACAACACAGAATTATTACTATATAGCCGTTTTTCTATGTCAACTAAACTGTGAAGCATACTTGCAGGAGTTGGGGGTCTGTTTAAGCACATCATCAATCCCAGCTGCTGATAACTGTTAATAAAGATAAATAAAATGTACAAAATCACTGACAAATAGATTCTGTTTGACTGCTGCACTTACACGAATAGGATCCAATAGCAAAGCCATTTCAGAGTTGTTATTAACTTTCTCGTTAACTAAGCTTCAGGAGATACACTCTGCCAAAGTAACAACAGAGAAGGACCATCACCTTCAAAATGTCATGGTATTTTAAGGCTGTGCCATTTCAGAAGACTCAATGAGGTAAAAAGGAAAACACTACCTAAAGATTCATTTTCGATAGTCTTCTCTGTCTTACAATTAAAAAAAGGCGGGGGGGGGGAGGCAAAACCCCAAGTTGCTCCAGCATGTTTTAATTTTTATTTCTCTTCAAAACTTCATTTTGATTTTACTCAACACAGTGATCATGATTAGTAAGTAAGAGTTGACTAACTGCCCTTTCTAAATGCCTTAAGCAATAGATCATGAAATCAAGGGGTGAAGTCCCCTGCCAACCTTTTAATTCTATTTTGAATGTTGTGAAAAATAGATAATTAGCTCAACATATAATCAGATGGTTACATATATGTATTTTTATAAAATGATTAGCTCTGATCTTACATATACTGCAAAAGGAAAAATTGTTTAAATATTTGCACCTACCTTGTGGTGCTTTTAAAAAAGGTATACAGTAGTAGGTCTCCAGATTTAAAATGTAATCACCTACAAAGAAAAAGGTAGCTAAGGGCCAAATATAATGATACAATCCATACCTACCATGAAAGAATTTGGTTGTATCCATATTGGAAATCCCTCTCCTGACATTTCTTGACAGGATATACCAACTGGTTCTCGTGAAAGTACAGAATCTTTTTCAGTTTCCCAAGGTCAGGCCGAAGGGCAGCCAGTTCAGTCAGGTTAAGCACTGAGCTTGCAAAGAGGATCCTAGGAAACAAGGAAATTGGGGTTTACTGTCCCAAGTGCTTGAAGGGGTCACCCTTTGCTCTTCTCTCCTCTTTCCTCTTCCCACAGCAAGAAAAAACATATCCCCTATAGGGACACATCAATAGTTGAGCCTTAATACCATGTAGCAGCATTCTAAGTTTTGATCTCTTAAAAAGCAGCTGCTTAGAACTATAAAGGTCCCAAATCTCACTGGTCTTCTCAGTGCAGTTACTGAGAAATGTGGGAGAGAAAAAAAAAAAAAAAAAAAAAAAAACCACGCCGGATGGATTTTATTGAAAAAGGCAAAAAAAAGCTCTATCTGAAGGACAAATGGAACAAAGATAAGGCTGACTGGGGAATACTTTGCTTGCCAGTTTCATTACACTTTCCTTCTTTATGCAACCAACTACTGAAATTCAGTGTATGAGCAGGAATGGCACATGTTCATGTTATGACATAAACCCTTTTGATTTATGCAATAGATTTATCTAGTATGGTCTTTTTCTCTTGGCATGTTTTCTTACCCCCCCCCCCCCACTTGTAAAGTATCTTACAATACTTGTGTTTTTTAAAACATCTTTTGTTCTCCATTACTGGACTGCTAATGGTACCAAAGGCATGATTTGTAAAATCCCTTAATAAAGCATAAATATAAAAATTTGATGAAAGACTGATTCCTTGCTTTTAGGGGGAAAAGGGAAACAAATCTTGCCCATCCATGTTTATAAATGAAAAAAGTGTCAATTTACTTTCTCATTCCACAGACATTTACTAAATGCCTACTATGTGCCAGGGTCTAACCAGGAAGAACAGAAAAGATGAACAAGACAGCTCAGCAGGATAAATGCTGCCTGTAATAGAGACATACACAAAGCATTAGAGAAACAAACAGAAAGCAATACTAATTGTCTGGGACAACCTGGAAATGTTTCCCTAATGAGGTGCCTACTACATATGGACACACAAAAAAGAGGGACAAAGTACAGGTCTTGAGCAGCTGAGGACATTTATGGCACAATTTTGATAGAATGCCACCTTTATAACATAATGTGACATCATTTGACCTTTATGGCTTTAATTCCCATTCTAAACAATCAGGTTCAAGAAGGTTAAGAGTTTTTTCTAGGTAGAAAGTGGCAAAGCAGAGAGACTGCTGGTCTTCTAGGCTCAAACTGCTTTTCATTACACCACAGATATGAATTGGTTGCGGACCACTTACATTGCAAGTGCTTTTTTCTGTACTTAATAAATACAAAATATCATCCTTGTTATTACCATGATTATAACTACTATAAATCCTCCCTTGCTGACAAGCCAAATGGCTAACTTCAGGTGTTTATATGATCTGCTGCACTGGCCTTTCACATAAGAAGAATGATTATATAATAAGTGCATATATCATAAGTAGGAATTCAAGTGTCTTCTTCATGGGCTAAAAAAGGCACATAAGACCAAAAGCCAGCAATCCCTCTTTAAACCTGCATAGCCATATTAATGTTAGAATTTATGTCTTTAAGGTAAAACAAACAAAAAACCTTACCAAGGAGATGCATTTTTTTTTAATTGTCTATACTCAAATTTTTTTTTTAAAAAAGGGCATTGTCCAAACATATTCCCCCCACTACTACCACGTATAATCTGCTCTAAAAAATATACTGAAAATTCTGAAATATGAAGATATTTGCTTACCTAGAAATCTTACCTTTAGCAGAGGAAACAACAAAATATTTCAAACATTATTTTCCTTAAGATGGAATACATGGCAAATTGTGGGTCTAGTTATTGAGCAATCCTTCCTCATCTCCTTCTATTCTGTCTTACCATCCCCATCCCTGACCATACATACATACTACGGCAAGCAATGATTCCCATTCCTAATCATTATCACCTGAGCAAGCACAATGTTTTTCACACACGAGGCAGAAAAATGCATTAAAAGTAGCCTTCATATGAGTTATTAATAACAAAAAAAAATCTTTTTAATGGGAAAATCAGGTAGACGCCAATTTAACCAAGTGATCAAACTTCCTATGACCAATAATGGGACAAAATGATACCATGTATTTGCAAATGTGATACATTGAGAAAGATACAAATCATCAGTGTAGTGTTCCTGTCAAAAATGCCTAATCTGAATTTAGCGAGGAATAACCAGACAAATATTTTGTAAAATAATTCTCTGGATCTCCAAAAACGTCATGTCATAAAAGAAAAAGAAAATCTAGATTAAAGGAAATAAAGATACCCAAAACAAAATCCAGTATGGAAGTATGTGATCCTTCACTGGATAATGGAATGGGAAAGAATACCTATTAAGGACATTATTAGGACAATAGGAAAAATTTGAATATGGGCTGAATATAAGACGCAAATTTCGACCAATCTTTAATTTCTTAAATACAACAATTTTATTGCAGTTGTGTAGGGGAATATCCTTATTCTTAGGAGATTCATGTCAAATTATTTACATGTGAAATGGCATGATGTTTGCAATAAACTCTTAGTTCAGCCAAAATGCTACTACTAATAATATGAATATGTATATATTTACAGAGAAAGAAAAATAAAAAATGTACAAAAACATTAACAACTGATTAATCTACGTGAACAGGTGTGTAGTAATTCACAGCTTCAGGGGATTGCGGAGAGTCTATTAAAACATTTCATGGAGCAAGGCATTGTCCTCCTGCAAATTTGGGGTAAGTTATACATTTATAAATCTATAAATTTGAAGTAGTAGGCATTAAATGGCAGTAAGTAGAAAAAAATTCTACAATCCATAAACAATAAACCCATCATATCTGCATTTCTAGCCATAATCCAACTGTTAATTTCTACATGAAGATTATCCTCAGGGTGTACCATCTATAGCAAACGTTTAATCGAGAGGAGTCCTTTATTTCTACCATGGGTCCCCCTGCCCACCAGCCTATCCACAACCAAAAGTTGTGCCTTCCAGTGAAAGTTGAGCCTTCCAATGAAAACCTCCAAATAAAAGAGGTCAATGTACTCACATGAAAATGACAATAATTTTCATAATATTCACCATTTGAGACTGTCCACACCAATACTGCTTTCAGTTTGCTTAATCACTAAAAGAAAATTCATTGTATTTTTTACAACTAACCTTGAAATCGTCCTCACTACTTTTAAATAGTGGAAGTTATCTCCATCATTTCTCTTTTTTTGCTTATATAATAGTAGTTAAATTGGTCAATAAGCAATTTCTCAAATATTTAGCTCAACAACACCCAAAAAGAAATAATGAATATGCCCACAAAAGGAACACAGGTGATCCACAGGCAATTTTTACTCTGTACCCTACTATCAATTTTTAAAAGCTGATAATAATACAATGAATGACATCACTTGATCAGCAGCTAATCCCTGGGCTACCAATGTTCATCTTGCCTCAGGTAGTATTTAAGCAATAAATCCTAACAAGGTGCACTTTATCATCCCACAGTGTGTCTGTAGCAGGAAAGGAACAAGGTGATAGCAAAAACCACCAGGAACAAGATAATTCCTGACAGCTGCTGCTTGAGCACAAGTTAAATTGAACAGTTTATCTCAGCATGAAGATGTTATAAGGTTTTTATGTTTAATATTTTTAAATTAACATAAAACCCAGAGAAAGCAGTTAAGCAATCTTTCACAAACATGACATACTACAATCACTGTATAAGCTGGATTAGTACTTATTACTATGCTACTACAGAATTAAGCTGTTTTTAGACCACCAAAGAGCTTTAAATTGCAACTTTTGTCTCTGTAAAAGAAACCTATATTTAAAATGTCTGCTAAATTCAAATGAACGGCTACATCATTAGCTTACCATTTCACCAAAAGTACAAGTAAGCTGCTACTATAATTGTCTAACCAAAATGGCTCAATGCTGCAAGCACATTAACACCATTCCATGTATTTGGGAATAGTACTTGTACACGTTTCGATTGTTTCCAATACACATTGCATGTACATTTCGAGTCATGTATGTTTAAAGAATCCAAAACAGTTAAACACAATGAAATTCAAGATTAAAGATTTTATTCTTTTCTGCTTAGTTTGAGTAAGTCAGTTGTTTGTCTTTTACCCTATTCACTTAATATGCAAAAAGAAAAACTGAAATATATCTAAGGATAGTTGTAGTGTGACTATTATCATCAAAATGCACACTTTTATATCTTAAATGATACAGAAGGGAAGTGAAATGAGAAACAGAAGGCAGGCATTCAATATGCCAGCCACTGCCCAAACACTCTAGTAATGATTCTTCATGGGCGAGGTTATCTCACTCTTGCCTCATGTAATCTTTTCAATAGGCCCCCTCCTCTCCTGAAGCCATTTGTGATATAATGCGATAGGGTATACAATTTAACAGATACCAGTTTGGGCTGTGTTACCACTCATACACAATTTCTTGCACATATGACTTCAGGAGGCCTGTGACAAAAGAGTAAATTCTTCCAGCTGTGTCACTTTGCCCAATACCTAAACTCCTGGGCTAGATTCGTGTTGCTCAGACTTGTTACCTAAGCCTTAGTTCTTTTATTCCCTCTCATGGGTTCCTGTTTCTTGATATCTACTCTGTAGGATCCTAGATCTTGGATTTTCTGTGATGCAGTATTTTCTATCATGATGGAAATGTTCTATATCTGTACTGTCCACATATGACTAGCTACATATGGCTATCGAGCACTTGAAATGTAGCTAGTACTCCTGAGGAACTAACTTTTAAATTTAATTTGATTAAATTTAAATTTAAATTGACTAGCCATATGTGGTTAGTGGCTACTGCATTGGAAAGCACAGCTCTGGATGAACCAGCTTTCCCTAACCTGACACCCATGTTACCTGAATACAATTCCCTGCCTAACTGATTTTCCTGAACAGACCCTTGACCTGTTTGTGATAACCTAATTTCTATGTTCCTCATGACTAGATGAATTTCACCTACCCGATTTTTTCTTTTCCTTCTGATAATCAGAAAATATATGTTC